TCAGTGTCGTGCTGGTTTTTGTTCTTTCTCTCCTAACTAGAGTGGAAATCAGTTCTCTGATGAACTACTATGCTGTAGAATATTCTCAAACAATAGCTATTTTGAAGATGTCTTCTCTGGATGATTTTCTAAGTGCCCTGTGTAACTCTTTAAGTTAAGCATTCCCTGCAGTTAATTCTTTGGAGACAATGTGTAAACTATCAGAATTTGCTGGTGCCTAAAGACATATCTAGAAACAATGACACCAAACGGAACAAACACACCATGGGAGGGGAGCTTCAGTTTTTTGAAGAAGTGTGACTTAGTCTTCATGCCAATTCTTTGTTTGCTTGTAAATGAACCTCTGAATAAAATTTGTCAATGCCATATGAAAAAATGTCAGGAAGTGAAGAACATCAATGCCCGAGCCCATTACATGCTATTTTTTTGAAAGAGCCATAACCAGGAGATAAAAATCAGAATTACGCAGGTAGATGTTTCATACTTTAGAACCACGGATTATTCAAGACTTTGTCCCATCTCGTATCTTGAAAGCCCAGCCCGTGCAACATCCAGCGGGAGTTCCTAGCAATGACTGTGATTTTGCTTGTGAGGTGAATCAATTTCCAGTTCTTACCAGGAAGCCCCGACCAGCCCTGACCACTAACATTGTCCTTTCTCACCTGCAGAATGTGAACGGTATAAAGTACCACGCCAAGAACGGCCACAGAACGCAAATCCGCGTGCGCAAACCCTTCAAATGTCGCTGTGGGAAGAGTTACAAGACAGCTCAGGGCCTGCGGCACCACACAATCAATTTCCATCCCCCCGTGTCTGCTGAGATTATCAGGAAGATGCAGCAATAACATGCTGGTCACAAACGTGCCAAGAAACCCTCACCAGCAGTTGCTGATTTTGAGAACAGCCACCTTTTTCAGGGGAAGCATTCAGCAACCCTTTAAAAAAATTAAATGCATGCTTTAAAATTTTCTGTAATTTTGGAATGATGTATCTTTGTAGAGTTAATGATTTTGTACATTTGCACATGTAATCATCATACCCATTTTCATTACTATGAGATAAGGTGCTATAAAAGCTATAGGTTCTTCAGAACATTTTTCTCCAAAACAAACAAACAAACTGGGGATGGGGGGTGGGGGGCATCGGGTATTTAGTTGTCCTGAAGTGTTGAATAGGAGTGAGAGGAGGAGAGCTTGGCACTGACATCCTTTCAAGATTGTAACGTGATGAAGACTTTGATGCATCTGTCAATGTGTGTGCAAAACCAAAACAACACCACCCTCGTCAAACTAGAGTTAACATGCCTTACATAAATGGAGTTATCAGTGGAGTAGCAAGACTTTTAGGTAATGGAAATATAAATAAGAAAGAATGTTTAACATAATATGCTAAAAATATTTTCATACTTAAATAACATACATAAAAGGTGTGCTTGCTGTATTTTATATTATCTTGCAAATCTTTTTTTTTTTTTCTTCCCTCTTGAAATGATGAAAATCCTGCCACTCAAACTAGTAAACAATCACCTTAGTGTTAGAAATTACTACTTTTTTGTTGTACAAGGTGTCATATTGTGTTCATGCCCATCAAATATTTGAGGACCAATCTCTCAGTCCAACTAAATAGTTACCCCTGAACTATCCGTCAGAAAGACACTTGGAAATACTTAAGTGCAAATTTATGTGTGTGTGAGAAACAATTATCTTCATCTCAGATGAAGTTTTAAAGCACTTTGTAGTTCTCTATTGCCAACAGATTTAATGTTTTATGTGTTGCCAATTCTTGCAACTACTGTACAAGCATGTGCCTGTGGTTGCAAATAAAAATTAAAAATTCTACGCCTGGTTTAAGGAGGTCCATTATTTGTGCTAAGGGAGTTTCTAATGCCTCCCCCTCATCTTTATTGTATTTTGAGATTTCCTTTGTGTGTTGTTTTTTTTTTCCTTCTCATTATAGGTCACTGCATTCCATGGGGAAGTGTCTGTTTAGCTTTACAGTTAATTTTGCAGAAATATGACATATGAGCCTTACTGAAGATTATTAAGTGCTTCTTGCAGCAGGTGGTCAGAGACTGATGGCAAACAAAGGCCAACATGAGAGGGCTTCGTGTCTGGACCATACCTGAGCATTCCTTGCTTGCTATCTTGCCTTGCGCCTTCTTCTCTCACAAGTGCTCTTCTTGGAGCTGAGCTGGCCGGGAGGGGAGGGGGCAGCCCCTGCCCCAGCCCCAAAACACTTCTGACCCCCCCAGGGTTAGGGAGGAACTCGCCGTGTTAACCACGGCCATCGCCTTTGCTTTGGTCCTTGCCCTTCACGTGCAAAGGAAAGCTCAAATAAAGGAGGAATGAGCTTTCCCTCTATTTTTTTTTCTTTCCCCCAAAGCTTTAAATAAAAAGTTGGTAAGGATGACAATTACCTGTTCTCCAGCAGAGTAAAAGTCTAATTAAAACACTTGAAAATCATCCTAGTGAGTAAGTGTTTCAAACAAACCATCACTGTTTCATACCCCAAAGAGGTGACAGTGCTTGCGCTGTGCTGTCAGTCAGGGGTCGAAGGATGATCCAGACATGAGAGTTCCTGGCACACACAAGGCCCAGGTGGCCATTTCCCACCTTCTGCAGTTTTGGCAACAGATCTGGCCAACAAACACATTTAGGCTCTGCTCCTAGTGCAAGAAACTACAGGCTGGGCAAGTTCATTCAACAGCTAAACAGTCGTAAAGCGTCATTGTTGCATGTAAATTCCTTTCAACTATGAAAAAAGAAATTCCAGTTTCTATTTACTTATTCATTGTGACAGTATTATTAAACTGGTAAAGATGGGACTATTTTGTTATACTGTGTATAGTGAATGTATTGTACTGTGTCTGTGAAAAGTGTGCTTTAAATTATATTTTCATATGTTTTGTTGGGGACAAAGTACTTTAAGTTTGAAAGTGACAGAGGTTTGTTTTAGAACTGAAGGCAACTTAAAAGAAATCCTGTCAAGAAAGCTGCTTATAAATGTAAATCAAATCACATTTAAAATAAACTGCCTCTGATCTGAAAAGACTGCTCTGTCCTCCTTCCTAACCCAGAGTTATGTTCTTGGGCTGCATATGGTCTCTCATTTGTATCTCTTACTTCAGTATCATCAGACTCTACCCAGTGAAGCAACTTCAGCACCCTCAGGGCACAAGGTGACACAGGATGCCACAGCCTGAAGAAAAAAGGGTTTTTTTTATCAATCAGATAATTTATTTAATGGGTCAAAAGGAATTCAGATTTCCTTCCAACATTGCAAAAGGAATTGGGTTACCAGATAAAATTGGGACTGACCACTCCCAGTGGCAGGATATGGGTTACCTTTCTCCTAAGCGTTTCCAGAAATGAAGTGGCTATCAATTACTACTAAAGGAGAAATCATTAACATTTTAATTCAGTGAGGTTTTAGTAGAGGTTTTTGGCTTCTGTCACATACCTACAACCTCCCTGAGTAGGTTACTTTAAATAGCCACCCTGGCATGACTGCTTAACAGGGAAACTATTTCAGTAATTCCCTATATTTACACACATCTCTGCTTTGGCACAGTCACATTTCGAGGTTGTCCTCCTGCCTGGGTGGGATACCAGCCTCTGATATTTCAGAAGTCTTTAATAATATTTTAGTTTTACAGCCTAACTTTTCATATGCTGATGAGTTATGGTCAGAAAAAAAATGAACAAATTGTTCTTTCAGTGCTTCCATGTGTTACCTCAGACCATCTCTTGACATGAAGTTCTAAGTTAAAAAAAAAAAATACTCTAAGACTTAAAATGGAACAGAGGCCGAAACGCAGATTTATCAGCCTCATGCAGCTTCCATAAATCCTGCACTGAACAGGATATTGCACGTGCTCATGAGAGACCTGCAGACGAGAAGTTACTCAAAACCTTAGTCCCTAAGTCTCTCTAAGAATATGAAGAGATGTGGGCAGGTTTCTTTGTCACACGGAGCTGAAACATCACTCACTGTAAGTATGTAAAGCCCAACTCGGGTTTATTTCAAAATGAGCAGCAGGGAAAAAGGGATCATTGACTCCATGAATCATTTTGCTTTTAATGTAACAAGACTACTGTACAAGTGGAAAGCAAATTTACTTAATACAGTTAAAGTAAATATAAAATGTTTAGATACACACACATGTTTTTACTTACTGGAAAGAAATGCATGAAGTTAAAACACAGAAGGTTTTAAAAGCCCTAAGCAAAAAGGAACATAATTCACTGCTGTGAAAATATAACAATATTTCCTACTGACTGCAATTGCAACATAATGGCAATGATTTTTTTAAACAATTGCTTTCAGGCTTTTCAACACAACAGATTCTTTCAACTCAAAACCACTGCCTGAAGGTGTAACATACTTAATTTCACATTATCCCTTAAGGCAAACGTTCCAGATGTAAGACTGAAGTATTTGCCGTTAGTTTGTTACAAGCATCTCATCTCACAGTACGTGCATCTACATTTCAGAAATGTACTAGAAAACTATATTTTGATAGGGTAAGTAATGCAACTTTCTGATGTAGCTGTGACTCAAAGGAAAAACTACACAACTTTGCTAGGAGAAACATCTGTTTATTACATTTTTAACCATGCCTCAGTTATGGTCAAGAGAAACCCTGGGTGCTTTGGTGGCATTTTTGTGTAGCTGAAGAGCATCGTGAAGCTGATCTCATTTTTTCTGAGGCAGAGTCACTCCTGTGTCCTTACAATTAAATTCCACTAAGTAGGGTAATAAATAGCTACATACACAACAAAGTGGGGTTTTTTCTGGGTTTTTCTAGTATAATGTTAGGTAGAGAGAGAAGAAAACCCCATAGCAGCTTATAGCCACGACTTGTCACAGCTCCCGGTAAGAGTACATTAGCTTGGGATCAGAGTTTTGCACTGTTACAGAAAAGCTGCACTGGTTTGGCTCCATAAGTGGACTACTCAAAAGTGGTGGGTTTTTTTAAGCTACACTGCAAAATAAAGTTTTTAGTCAAAGTTTAATACGTTCTGATCAAAGTGTGTCTGAACATGCCTCTCAAACCCTTGCTGATCGTAGTCAGGTGGGAACTGCTCACTGCACATGGGACACACCTTCCAGTGGCTCTCCACGTGTTCCTCAAACTTACTCTGGTCATAGTTAGGTGGAAACATCACATGGCAGAGAGGGCACTTCTTGTGCACATCAAAGCTTCACAAGGAGGTGGAGAGAAAGGGAAAAGGAAACAGTTATTTAATCCGTTACTGCAAAAGAAAATATCAAAGCAGGATCCTGTTGCCACCAAAGTTAAGAGCTTTACTACAAACTTAAATTCAGGCAGGCTATGTATCTAAGCAAGTATACAGTTGATTTCAATGTCTTGTCAATGTCTGAAAGCAGTTAAAGTAGTTTTGCAGAGGAATTCCAAAATAACCTGCCATTTTAAAAGCTACAAGGTTTTGACGTAATTCCAGCTACCCCTGAATACAAATCTATTGACTGTCTTAACAGCCAAGCAGTTTCATGGGAAACCACTCTCCTTGCTCATAAATGCTTGCTCTTAGCAAACACCACACTCCATAAAAGCTCTAAACTTAGGTGCACAATTAGGTTGGAAAGAAAGGGGAAAAACCAAAAGTTACTCATGCATTTACTGAAGAAATGGTACACGTTCTGTCAAAATAAGGTCTAGCATAGTCTACCCAGTCTCACAGCATATTCTCTGACAGTTGATTGTAAACCAAACGTTTGTTGACCATGCTTAGTAGTTTTTTGTCTCCACCCCTCACCTTTGAGTAAAAACATCTAGTTAGATAGAAACCTACCCATGCCATTAAAGACCAATAAAAGAGAACATCTACCTGGCATCAAAGCAGAAACCTGTTCCACGTTCATGCAGAAGAAGACTTGGAGGATCAGGAGCAGAAGGTACAGTGTTATCATCCTATTAAACAAAGGAAGTATTTTAAATAATATTCACTAGAAACAGCCTTTTTTCCCCTCCCTCCTCCAAATGCATTTTTGTTATCAAGCATAAACCTGGATGAAATTCACCTTTCCTTTTATAACCTTCTGCAGTTTAAGTTTTACTTGAGTGTACAAAAGGGAGACATGGTTAATGAACACAGCTTGCCTTTCGACCACCTACTTGGAGAGCAGAACCACATGCCAGTGCTGCCAGGATGCTGCCACCAGCACAGGAACTCAGCAATGCAGGTCACCTCACTGCTGCTGCCTGAGGGCCAGGCTGGAACAGATGAGTTAAACTGAACGCAGGGCACCACACTGCCAACCATGACAGCATTTTATTGAGAGCTAAAACTTACATTCTAGACAACAGAGTGTCAAGTCAGACTTAAAATCTGCCCAATTTCATTTCAGCAAGCGGCAAAAGACACTTTATTTCGATTCTCATGCTTGGCTCCCAGTGGTCAGTTTTGAGTGATCTGCCAGTGCTCCTCTCACCAGTTGAGCAGGTCCCAGGCCTCAGGCTGCTGTCAGGCACACCAGCTCCACTGCCCCCCTCAGCAGCTCTGTCAGCTCTGCTGTCTGCTGTCCATCAGCACTAACAGCACATCAAAAGCTGCCAGTGGCCACTGATGAGGATCACTCTGCTGATGGACAAGCAGGTTTGCCTCAGAGCTTCTATTAGGTTAGGAAGGCAGGTCCATGTCTCTAGGGAATACCTGCTCCTCACCTCTCACAAAAGGAAAAAAATCTGCCTGTGGTGGGAAATTGTCCAGCAGAAAAATTAAGAATACCTGGAGTGCCTGGATTCTGGGAGCTCCCTTCTGACAAGCATTCTATGATTCTACAATATGTTTAGCAGGTTTGGCTTGGGTTTTATTCTGTGATGACATTATTACAAATTAAGACTTAAATAGGCACAGTGATGTAAGCAAATAGAGAAAGGAAGAAAGCACAAGAGGAAAATGAACTGAAGGAATTAAAATCAGAACTGTGTTTGTAAACCCATTCTATCTGCAGTATAAAACTATATAGCATTTTGGTTCAATTCTGCGAGCAGATAATAAAGCACAAAACCTATTCAAGGTAGGAAAACAGGTACATTCATCAAGATTCATGAAACTCCAACTCCTAAATCATTTTCTTCTCAAAGATGCCTTACATGCAAGAATTATGAATCATGTCACTTATCTTAAAAAATGGATGTGTAAGGGACCATATATAACAGCATACATGCTGTAAGTTTTATACACGTAACTAACATGCATATTCACATTTCATTCTGGGGCTTTGTCCTTACAAAGAGTTAATAGAAACAGAGAAGGATGCAAAGATTCCTTCAATATTTTCTTCTCCTGAAAGCAGCTGTTTAGTTTCAACCATTTAACATTTCCATTAAGCAGCTAGTGGGGCTTGCTGTGACAGATGCTAGCAACAGAGATGTTTCCCTGTCTGACCTGCTTGCTCTGCACCTGAAGTAAAAAGGGCAGATGGGTTTTACATTATTTGTTCCTTTTGTCACAGAGGAGATAAGATGGATGCAAGAAAGAAGAAAAACTTTTTAAAATACTCTGATGCCAAAACCATGACAAAGTTGCTGAGTACCTGACAGTCGGCGCACCAGAATTTACCTGACAAAATGTATGTGTGTCTTCCCTCAAAAAAAAAAAAAAAAAAAAAAAAAAAAAAAAAAAAAAATCACTTACAAAAAAAAGGGGAAAAATTACTTTCTTACAATTCTTTATTATTTGTCACTCAGCTATTGCTTGAACACTGAGCATTTTTTTCACAGCACTTATTGTGTGCAACCAAGTCTTACTGAGGTGGAGGAAGTTCTTCTCTGGTGAAAGGGCTCTTCAGCCTCAGACGAGGTCCTTAAGATTTGTTTAGGACAGACCCAACCATGAACACATCAGTTACCCATTATATTAAGGGTTATTAATTTCAGTTGAGTAAGCAGTCAGGATTTGTCAAAGCTAGTATTAATTTGGTATATAAGGACATTAACCAAAATGATGTGGCTAACATGATACAGATGGGACTCTTTTCCCATTCAAAATTGTTAATGCAGTCAACAAAACCCAGCCTTTAGAAAGGGTCTCTCCACAGACCTGAAAGCAACCGCTGGCCTGAATGCCCCACTGCAACAGAACACAGAACTCATCATTCCTGAAGGAATCCATCCCCATCCAAATGTTAGAATACCACAGAAATTTTAATTGCCCTATCAGAAAAAGAAACCTGTCAGTTTTAATGAAAATTAAAACATACTGAGTGACAAATGAAATATGCTTCTGTAACTCATTACTCAAGTAGAAGTGATCTTCCCAGTGCCCTCCATCCACTTGTATTACCCATGTCAGCACAGGCAGGACCACTTCAGCAGCAGTTTCCCCACATGCCTATTTTGCTCCACTGCCATGGACCATGGGTAACTAAAGATTTTAATTAGAATCAACACGATGCACACTGATTCATAGAAAGGTCTGCCATTTTAAAAAATAATTTAAAAAAATCAGCACTGCCTGTTCACCTTATATAAAGCTTTCATTAGCTAAAAAGTCAAGTGAGGGGGTTTTTTTGTTTGTTTTGGGCAGGTTTTTCACATTATTTACTCTAGTTATTTTAGCTTTTTGTTCATTTGTTCAGTATGGGTAACAGGAGAGGTGCCTGAGGACTGGAGGATAGCAAATGTCACACCAGTCTACAAGAAGGGCAAGAAGGAGGACCTGGGTAACTATAGAGCGGTCAGCCTCACCTCCATCCCTGGAAAGGTGATGGAACAACTTGTTCCTGTCACTATCTCTAGGCATATCAACAACATGGGGGTCATCAGGAGCAGTCAGCATGGTTTTATCAAGGGTAAACCATGTTTGACTAACCTCATAGCCTTCTATGAGGAAATTACTAGGTGGATAGATGATGGTAGAGCGGTAGATGTGGTTTATCTTGACATTCAAAACCCACCTGGATGCGTTCCTGTGTGATGTACTCTAGGTGACCCTGCTCTGGCAGGGGGGGTTGGACTAGATGATCTTTCGAGGTCCCTTCCAACCCCTAAGATTCTATGATTCTATGATTTTGCCCCCTTCACCCTTTTTTTTTTTTTAAAGAAAAAACCAAACCATAACACATACTGGTTACTGCTAGTGTCTTGATAAGATTACATTGTTTACATTTTTCTCCTTCCTTTCAAGCTTCTGACAAGTGTGACACCCTATCATGTAAAAATGCAGCATTCCTTTTTGCAAAACTGATTTGAAAAAGATGCTGCTGCTCTCCTCCACATGGGCACACGTGTGCTGTCCTGCATTGCTGCCTTGTAGGCACCAGCTTCAACAAAAGGCAAGCACAAGTGCTGACAGTTTTAAAAATGGCTTTTCTGACATCTAAGTAACATTAAGTTTGGTATGTCCTAAGGACACAGCTTTCCCATTACCCAGTTCCATTAACTGTAGAAAACATACTGTGGATTCCTTATAGTAGCTTCTGGCCTGTGTACCAATTACACTACCCAATATGTACTGATACTACATTAAAACATGGAAAGTCTGTCTCTTTAGTGTATTTTTTGTCTTGGCCAAGTATATGAAGATGGATGAATTCTTGCCCTTTTGCTATGCTTAAATTAAATGAGAATTCAAATCTACACGAACCTACCTCAAAATGCATATTACAGAGATTACTGTGTAATTCAAGACTGGTCAAAAAGTAACAATGAGAACTTCACAGCTATTCTAACTACAAGTTACACTAAACAGTATACAATCATCAGTAACTAAAAACTGTCATACACTGCCCTGGGGTAACTTGGAACTTCTGAAGAGCACAGAAAATGTCCCATAGTCTTGTACTCTGACAGCTCTTTCTGTCATTCCAGATGGACAAAACTCCTGAAGTGTTCCCTGTAAAACAGGGATGTATGAAGGGAGGGTGGATCTTACTCATCTTGGTTCACCACCACTTAGTGCCCAGTTTCTTCCAGCTTGTATAACCAAAGATACAATCTTTATTCTTACATATGATGTTACATATACTTTTCAACCTGACATTAAAAACCCACTGTCCCATGGTAAAACACACCAGCTCCTGCAGACTCAAAAACTGAAACGAGAGGGCAACTTGAAGCTGCTTTATGGAAAGAGTTTGACAGTAATTGGTGGGACCCAGAGACAGCTTGCTTGCACTCCAGACTGATGACCAGGGGCATAGCTCCCTGGTCATCCTAGTCCAAGACCTCTACAGTGCCCTGCAGTGATGCAACAGAGCTGACAGATGGCCTCATGTCCTTAGTATGCAGCAGAACGAATGCCAGTCCTGCTGAATTCAGAAATTCAGATGTCTAGGTGAAAGACTTATGAAGGATGACTTTAACAACATGACTTAATTATTGCCACTGGTCTGTAACTCTTTAAAATTACTACAGTGAGTTCCACAGATTATGTGAATCATAAATATAACAATAATGGTTGGTAAAAAGGACTTTGCCACTAAAAAAGGAAGAAGGGAAAGCCCGAAACAGTCAGAAACCAGTACAACTCATGCAGTTTTACCAAACTAACCAATTTTGTCTCAAGTAGTTAAGTACTGCTTTCATGATTACAATTAAAAGCTAATGTCATTAGTTCAAAGATTGCCAAACAGAAATCAGAGACAAAGTTGTGTGACACTGTACAAAAGCCAGCAAAGTGACACCCATCTTAAACAATAAATGAACAGCCACACCCCTGACACACACTGCAGGTAAACTAGAAAGATGAATACAGACATTTTCTTCCTGTGACTCAGCTCTGCCGTGCCAGTGAAATCAAACTCTTTTAGGTCTCTCCACCTCTCTGGAAGCAGACTGGTCTCCCAAGAGGTACCTGAATACCAGCTGCTCCTTTTATGTCTATCCTACAGAAGAGATAGTAATTGGCTGCCAGGGTAAGGTCAGGCTAAGACAGTGTATTGAGGTTTTTTTGCTAGAAGAAAGGCCATTTTGGCTTCATCTCAAAAAAATATCCTGACCCAGCTGTCATTGCCAAAAGTTACACCCCTCGCTCCCCACAAATTTACTGCGACTAACAACATTGTTTAAGAGTCCCAGGACAGTTATTCTGGGCTTCCTGCCAACTGTAATCAAGACTACATTTCTAAAACTCACATTTTCCTTTTCAAAATATCTATGTGTGTTGTTTACAGATCTCTCCCGTACATACCTGCTTCTAGAAATTCTCTTCTCCAAGTTATTTAATTTTTGGTCAATTATGGAAGCATGAGCAAATGGAAAATGGGTTTTGTGTAGATAGCAGCAGGAA